GCCTTCGTGTGGCGGCAGCAGGGTTCCCCTCCCCCCCGACCCTGCCACCCTTCCAGCCCACCGCGCCTGCTTCTCCATGGCAGCAGGAAGCGGGTCGCCCTGGGGCTGGGATGTTCTGCTTCCTGCCCCCAATGGGATGGGAAAGGGAAGGGCAGAGCAGGCTGTCGGGTCGCTCCGGTTCCCGCTGCCGCCGTGAGTGCAGAGGGTCCCCACCCCCAGGTAACCCCACGGGTCCTCTCCATAGGATGCTTGGGGTGGCCCCCCTGCCACCCCGAACTGTCCTGTGGACTAGACGGCTGAGCTCTCTGGCTTTTCACAGACCTCCTGCAAAGCTGTCTCCCCCTCAGGGACAGCTTGCAAATGGCTAGGGTTGCCAGGTGTCCGGTATTCAGCGACTGAGACTCAGAACAACAACGGCCAGTTCACTAGCTCCTCGGGGCCAGCGGACGGAAGAAAGCCAGCTAAGGAAACTGTGTCAGATCTGCACAAAAGTCACAGAGAGAGGCTGCTGTCAAATCCCCCCTCACTCTTCTCTTCCGTAGACTGAATAAGCCGAAATCCCTCAGCCTCTCCTGGTAAGTCACTACGCTCTCACACAAGAAACTGAGAAGAGCCAAAACCACACTTGGTCACTCGAAGGCGAACAGTTTTCACAGAACGACCTCTCCACACCTGACCCCTCAGTCCTCAAAGGAAACCCCCCCCCCCCAGCACGCTCAAAAGTCGAGCCTGGGACCTTAAATTCATTGCTCTTTAGACACTAAAAATCACGAGCAGTGACAGTGGATTCATGGCTCATTACAACCATATGCAACTGCTTACCAGGCGCGCTCTCAGCCCACAACTGCTCCCTCACCTCCTTTCCCTCCCGATCTCCGGAGAGATGTCCACAGGCCACCTCACCTCAAATGGACACTTGAAACGGGCTAGTTACTTATGAGAAACCAACTGTCGCCTTTGGCTGTGACACCATGTCCCAGACCTGAAGAGGAGCCTCGTGCGGCTTGAACGTTTGTCGGTCTCACTAACAGGTATGGGTGGCGGGTGAACGCATCCCGTGAGGTGGCTAGCTACTGGCCCCTCTGCCCGAGGTCCTGCCCCTTCTGTCCTCCCTTCTCTCGCCGGAGACCAGTGCACACTCGCAGCCAGACACACACCCTGTACTAGGTGGGAAGGCAGCCGGAGCACCCTCATCTCCAGGGCCAGGAGAACGGGCATGACATAGCCTCCCACCCCTGCCTGCCTGCCTGCCTCAGCCCCCGGCACAAACAGACCAGCAGGCAGGAGGGGATCCGGGGTGGAGCATGGGACACAGACCCTTGCTCCCTCACAGTAGGCGGGGAAACAATTGACTTCAGGCCTGATCCTGAGCTGGTGTAAATCAGCACCGCCCAGCACTGCAGCAGTGCGTAACCGATTTCTCTTGCTCCCGGCTGACATGGTTCTTGGCAAGCGTCCCGCACACGGCACAATCTGCTTGTGGAGAACAGAGAAACACGCCGCGACTGAGGGGCTGGGCGTGGCCAGCCAAGGGAGAGTAGGAAGGTACCTCAGGTAAAGGCTTTGCAGGCTGGCAGTGAAGTCCCCCGACAAACTCAAAGTTCGGCAGGAACGGGCGCGGGAATTCAAAGTCCCAGTACGTCCGGATCAGCCACATCTCTGCTTTCCCCATCGTTTCACACAGCGTCGTGGGCTTTCCTGAAAGCAGAAGCGAGAGAGTTAAAATGAGTCGCAGGAGCCAGCTCTGAGACCTGCCGCTCCTGGATGCTACAGAGTGGCAGTGCGGCTTAGTGAACGGAGCTGGGACTTAGAAGGCCTGGCTTTTAGCCCAGCTCTGTCGCCGACCTGGTGCATGATCTTGGGCGGGTGACCTCAACTCTCTTTCCCCTCCACCCTTCTGTGAAAAAAAGTCTCTGGGTTTTTTATAACCTGTTTATCCATCAGGTAACTGGTTCCTGGAGCAAGGCAGCATGAATCAATAGCAACATCCACACAAAACAAACAAACTGGTCTAAAGCGACCCAGTTAGCCGAATCACTACAACAATGGTTAACACCTGGCCTGAGACAGCAAACTCTTCAGCTCAGAGATTAAGTGTTTGCCCAGGGGATTAGCACAGGGCACACAAGCTGCTAATCTCTAAAAAAAAGTAAAAAGTCGTTAGAGTCTCGGCCACACCGATCCCAGCTAAGGATGAAACCTGCCGATGATACAGCCCCATTTCCTGTCCCGTTCGGGGCCTGACGTGCTAACAGGACTTTCTCACCCCTGTGACACCATGACATAGTAAACTTCAACCACGACACGGGTGAATGAGTATGCAGTGGTGTGTTACCCGTGTTGGTCCCAGGATATTAGACCAGGTGGGGGAGGTCAGACCTTTTATCGGGCCAACTTCGCTCGAGGAGAGAGACAAGCTTTTGAGCTACCCAGTGCTCTCCTCCAGGTCTGGGAAAGCCACGCACACCCGGTCTAGGCCACGCGGTTCTGCCGTGCGTGGCCCTCGCTGCGGAAGTGTCTTCATTTAAAAACGAGGCTCCACCGAGCTAAGTGCCTCTCTACGTGAAGCTCGTAACACCCTCCCCAGAGACAGCCCACCGGCATCCCAGCCCTGAGCGACTGGTCTCACCACATCGAACCGGAGAACGGCAGGCTGGGAAAGCTCCTCAAGCACCAAGCCCTGTCCCAGGTGACCGACTGTTCTGCTAACGGAGACGATACGTTTGACGGCCAAACCAGCAAACTGCTTCCCTGCCGGGCAGCTGATAATCAGGGAGGCTTTCGCTCTTATTGCTGCCCAGGCACAGTTTGGAAAACCATCCACAGCTGACAACAGCATCAAGACCTTTCAATCATCAGGCTATCGCACACAAAGCCGCGCTTCCCTGAGCTAAGCCTTCTGTTGGCTCGCGGTGCTTAGCCACATCTCTCAAGTCCAGATAAAGCACTAGGGACACGTACAACGTGGTTAGCAGCCTTATCTTTTCCAGATGGGTTAAGGAAGGCCCAGCGAGGACCAGGGACTTGGAAGAGCCTCTGGCCTAGGGGTTAAGGTATCGGCTGCTTTTGGCCCGATCCTTAATTTGCTAGGATCGCTTATCGCTTGTTACAGATGTTGCAAGGGAAGGCAGGCTGTGCTGCCCATGCAGGCCTGCTAATATAGGCCCCAAGCCTGCACACGCAAGGCCATTGCCTGAATGCGCAGCAATTTCCAAGGCACCCATCTCGCAGGATTCTCGCGCTCCCGCTCCAGCCCAGGCCTGAACCCTTATGCCACAATTAAACAGCCCCAGCGCCCCTGCGAGCCCAGCTCAGAGGCATGGAACAGCTACGAGGGGTTAGCTGCAGGGCGCAGATATATTCTTTGGGACAGATTTTCCGAGGTATTTCAGTGCCTAACGATGCCGCTAGGTGGCAGTGTGGGGTTTACAGACGTGCTTAAGCAGGTCGGGTGCTTAACTCCCACTGAAACGTAGAGATGCATTCACAGAGTTTGTAAATCCAGCTGAATTACCTTTGCCCAGCTGGTCCTTAGTCACTTTCAAAAAGCGGGACTTCAATGTGCTTGAAAATGCTACCGTTTGACTGCACTGGCCACAGGGCCATCGTGTTCCTACCGCTCGTGCCGATCACAAAACTCAGGCGCTTTCGAGCAAGGGAAGGAGAGTTTCAGATCACACATCTCACACTGCCACATAACAAACAGTCTTATGATATACAGGATAATTAATATATCAACACAATCTGGCCCAGTTCAGGAAAGCACTTATGCATGATTTTAAATCCCGCTGATTTCAAGTACACACACAAGCCCCCTTCTTGAGCGGGAATATTTTACTCAACTGGGGACTTAACTTTGAGCCTGTGCCTCACTTAGACACTTCCCAGAGAAACAGATCAAAGCCCGCAGAGGCAGTTAATTGGAGATCAGTGATAAAGGTTAGCTCCTATTGATTTAAAAGGGAGCAGGACTTTGCCCACACTGACGGCAGGTTTGGCTGACTATTCAGGCTTTATGAACACATGTTTAAAAAAAACCAACAACTTGGGAGCTGTAGAAATGTTTCTATGACATTAAAATTCATTTAAAATATAAACAACTTGTCTTTAAGGGATCCTCAGCTATGCCCACCTGAGAAAACCAGGAAGTGAATGGTATTAGAAAGGTTTATAAAACTAATTGCCCCAGCTTGGAGAAAGGTAAAAACTGATCCAACAGCGAAAAGGAAATGATCTCTAAGATTTCGTTCAATATTTATATCTGGTGTTAACAGTGAAAGTGCTCAGTGCTCTTGAAAAAAAATCAGGTCATATAGGCATCGAAATGCAGTTCCTAGTGTAGCTTCCCAATTTGTAAAGTAATGTCTGTGCAGTCAGGGTCTCGCCTAAGTCTCAGAAGGGTAGCTGTGTGAGTCTGTGTGTGCAAAAGACTTGTCTCACCTAAGACGTTGCTGTAATACTGATTCCACTCATCCGCCCAGAAATACAAGAAAAACACGTCGTGGAAAATATATAGCAGCAAGTTTGTCATCCTCTCAGTGAAGGACATCCTGTCCGTCAGTCCCCCCGTGCTGGTAGGCACGTAGGAAGGAGGGGCAGGAAGCCCCCCACACAGCCGCTCCACCGTGTTCCCTTCAGAGAATCGGAAAGTGTAGACAAAGGGGATTCCAAGCAACTCTGCTACTAGCTCACCACCCAGAGAAAGAGGGTCTGAGATTAGAACATCAAACCCCACGTCCCGTAGCTTGGCTACCAGCCAGGAGTCCAGCACGACACTGTCACAGATCTGCCTGGATATCTTGGTAAATGCTTCCATGAATTCTTTCGTTTTCACCAGGCCCTCCCAGTAGGACAGATGGGGAAGCTCATAAAGGCAGAGCTTCAGGAAGTCCTCGAACACAGCCTCCAGGGTCTCCTTGGTAAAGGGCACCGGCAGGACCTCAAAGTCAAATGGGGAGAAGGGGTCATTGTAATCCATGAGGAAATTTGCCGACGGCACCAGCACAGTCACATCGTGGCCCCGCAGGACGAGTTCCTCCAGCACCAGTTTGATGCTGAGCCAGTGACTGCCATCGGTTGGCCAGACCAGCACCTTCCCGCAGGATCCCGAGCCCCAACAGGACCCGTGAATCCACAGCCCCAGAAAAAGCCACTTCTTCCACACCATGGCGCCACGTCCGCAGCTCTCGCCGGAGCGGAGCTCGGTGCCAAAGTCCAGCGTGGGAACGCTTCCGAGCTCAGCCCTCAAGGCGGACTGCTCCAATCTTGATAGAAGGTGATTCCAGTGCAAAACTGCCATACATGGGGACAGGCTCAGCAGGTACTAAACTCTGTTATGGACTGCCAAGGGCTCCGGAAGGGGAATCTGACCCTGTTCTCCCTGCAGGAGAACTTCTGTAAGGCAAGGGGCAGCAAAGGAGGTGGCCAAGGCCTGAGGAGAGGAGCGCGATAGAGCACAGATCACTATTATCTTCCCACAGGAAACGGCATCACACTTACCGCTCAGCCTGACCTCTTCACAGCACACCAGGCCACAATGTGGGCCAGGGTTTGGGCGTCAGTGCTCAGCCTGAGACTGCGGGTGCCTACAGGTCACAGAGCACCCATCACGCCCCCAACTGCCTTGAACATGAGCACCTGGTTGTGTGGTGGAGAGGGAAGCCAGCTAGGGGCCCAGCCTCTCTTCCTGAGGGGCTGAAGAGAACACGAAGCGATGCCATTAGCCTTTGGGAGCAGAAAAGTTGAACCCTCGTTCTGCTGAGACATCTGTTCTCCGAGCAGGGAGCTGGCAAACACCCGGTTTCTCCGGGATCTTGTCTGAGGGCCAATGTGGTGTCTATGGTTTGTTCACAGACCCACCCCTGCCCCCCAAAAAGACTCGGTTTTAACTACCTCTCTCATGATGCCAGCCAGGCCCGCCAGCGGGCGAAGGTGGGGAGACGATTACCCCGGGTTCCAGCGATTCTAAAGGTCCCAAATCACCACCGGCAGCCAGAGCCCTTTAGAATCACTGCTGGAGCACCACACGGCGCCCTCCAGAGCGCCACACCACAGGCTCGGGCCAGCCTCACCTCTTCTGCGACCACAGCGCCACTCCTTTCCTCACACACGTAGACCAGGGATCCGGTGAGCCTTTCGGGTCCCCTAATGCCAACGATTTCAGCTCTAACAAGTGGCACAGTAATATTTGCTTTCCAGCGGCAAATCATTAGAGGAAATTTCCACATAATGAATTTTCTAAGACACGTTTCCTTGGCAATTATTATTAAATGTCTTGTCTTACTTGAGTCCTCTAGAGGGTTCAGTTCCTCATCTAGGTGGTCTCCTTCCAATCCAGTGGGATCCATGACTCTTTGATGGTCTTTTCTCTGTGACTTCTCAGCTCCTGAAGTCCTTGCCACAGTTCATCTCTGTTGGTAAGTTCCAAAGGGTCCAGCGTTTTCTTAGTCCCTCCCTAAGTCATTGAAGATCTTCTGCCCCATGACAGTCAGGTTGCTCATCACCTCATTGCTCTGGCTCACTGTGGAAACTGGAAGAGTTGCAACTCCCAACTGTCCAGGGTCTTTGTAGTTGCTACTCCAAGAGAGACTTCCCCTCTACTCGCAAGTCAGCCCTCAAGCCGCTCCAAAAAGCCTTCTGGGGCTGCTTGAATTCCTTTTGCGAAGTCTCCCCTTGTTTCAGGTCTTGTTTTGTTTCTT